ATGAAGACTATGTTCTCATTTCAGATTTTCTCTTTTAAACTTACTCATCCCACATATTCAAAGCAGAATTTGATCCCCTTACATGTATGTGTGTGTGTAAACATACCTTTTTTTGCTGTCGCTCTACCTGCACAGTCTGAGTTCGGCAGACTGCAAAGGGGAAGCTGTCAGAGTGGTCATTGTGACACTTTCGGTCTGAGACAATGAAGCAGGCTCTGTGGATTTTGTTGGAAATGGGAATAAAGCTTGCTCGCAGCCCTCCTTCCCCTTCTTGCTAGAAGTAGTCAACCTGATCACATGATCCCCAGGGCAGAGCAATGGTAGACCGAAAGAAATACTCTCAGTGACAGTTTTCATTGGTGATAAAATTATGGGTGCATGTTATTTTAATGAAAAACTATTTTTCTAACAGTTAGATTTTCTACTCTGTTAGGTGGATACCAGACAGACAGGTCAGTGCATACACAAACCTGCACACAGTAAAGGACCATTTTGAAGTGTGCTGGATTGAAAGGAAGATTGTATATAGACTTTCACAGCAGCACAGAATTTTAGACCTGCAGGAACAAGAAAATGCCAACTAATTTGTTACCTTTTTTTTCATATTTACCCTTTCTTCATAGTCCTCACACACTCAGTGATTATTTTTCTTTTTTCAGCTATTTTGCGTGTTAACTTACTTGCCAAACTTTGACTCTGAGGAGAGCAATAGTGCTGTCTCCAAAATATTTAAATGTAAGACCTATCTTTTAGATGTAAAGTGTGTGTGGTCACCTGTATTTCACTTCAAATACCCCTCACTGTTTGTTGTGCAGGACCACTGAGGGTTAAGATAAACTCCTCTCTACCACCACCAACTTTATTCTTTTTGGTGGGTAGATTTTATATTTTGTTTTTCTAAACAACAGAAAACAGTTATAGTTCCACGTCTTATGTGCTTCCTCCCCTATGAGCTGTAAGCTCAGTATGTGCACATATGTAAGATTTCAAGTGCAAACGAGAACAGAGCAGGAAACAGATTTTCACAGTTACCGTCTGGGTCCTTGTGCAAGTGCCAATGTAAAGCTACTCGCTGAAGAGTGAAACACAGTATAATGTTGCCTGGCTCTAAGGAAACAGATTTGAAAATCTCAACTTCAAAGCAAATCAGTTGAGTAGGGTTGTGGTATTACTGTGTCACATTCCAGTGACATGCAGTGTTGTCACAAACTTTTTCCTTCAGAAGTAAAGTTATGGGAGGCATTGAGATACCTTTCAAAATGCCAGGAAAGGGAGTTGGGGAAATTTAGTTAAGAATAATGAAAATATGTCACCTATAACCCAGGAAGCATATATTGCAAGCATCCAGGTGTTTCAGGGTACAGGGCAACTTTAATGTGGGCTGGGGGAGGAGGTTTGTCCTGAATTCGGGAAAGTGCATGGATCAGGGTGAATGTCTAGAAAGAAGGGGGCTGTTGGGTGGAGGTTTGAGCTCTTGAGCTCAGTAGGAAAAAATTACTTGTTTAATTTTTAGAAGCAAATAATAATTACCTTTAAAGTCTGCAGAGCAAGGGGCAGCATGTGGGAAAAGTTCTGAAGAAATCATATATAACCATTCCTCCTTGCCTTCTCATTTACTCAACTTTATTATTTAGGTTGGATTCAAACTTTATTTAAAATTTATTCAACTTTATTTAAGTACTAGTTAAAGTACTTAAAAGACTAAAGTTAAGTTCAGTTTTTATGTTTTTCTGGAATTTTGCATGTTTCTGATTTTCCCTGTGCCCCTCAAATGTCTTGCAATCAACTTATTCATATCTGAATTATTTTTTAGTGAAAGATGAGGCATCTCAATCCACAGTTAGAGATAAGACTTTCAATACCTGTTTAACATTTTGGGTTGAGTTGGGCTAAATTTACCATTTTAACACTTAGTGGAAACCTATTCTGCACCTGGTACTAATGAGAAAAGGAGGGAGGGGCGAAGGAGAAGGAGAGGAAGGCGTGGGAAGAGAAAGAGGGAGGAGGGGAGGGAGGGAGGAGCAGCAGGGGACTGACTTGTTTCTTGAGTGGATGGATGAATGGGTGAATATAGTATTATTATTTTTTTTTTTTTCCGGTACCGGGAACCGAACTCACGACCTTGCGCTTGCCAGGCAGGCGCTTTGCCGATGAGCTAAATCCCCAGCCCCTATAGTATTATTGAAAGACTGTAAAAGGTACCTGCGAGATAGAAGGGCAATCCAGGGGGAGGAGCGAACAGTTTGGCCTCAGAGGGGACACGGTGCTGACAGGGGAGGCCTCGTGGGAAGATACTTGACCAGATCGTAAAGGGTGAACAGTAGTTTTCCAGTTGCCAGGGTGGTACCCAGCCAGTAGTGTAGGTGAAGTTGGGAAGGTGTAAAATGGTTTGAATGTTCAGGGTGTTGCAAATAATTTGGCAGTCCTAGATCGTAGGAATAATGTGTCAAGAATTTTGACAGGTGAGTAACACGTCACAAAGGGTCTTTGTTAGTAAGTCACATTCCTGGTTAGTTAGTTCATGGCAGGTAGTGCTGGGGGTGGAAATGGAAAAATAAGAAGCATTGATCTTCTTTACTTTAGATTGTACTGGCATTTAGAAGATAATTAGGGTTCTGGGTGTGGTGGTGCACACCTACAATCCTAGCACTCCAGAGGCTGAGGCAGGAGGACTGCAGTGAGTTTGAGGCCACCCTTGGCTACATAGTGTGTTCAAGGCCAGCTCCTGAACAACATAGTGAGACCCTGTCTCAAAGAACAAAACAAAAAATAATTAGGGAAACATTTTTTAGTATGGAAACAACAGAGCCTGGTGAACTATACTAATACTTTAAGCTATACAAGTATGACAGACTGATATTCTGAGATTTTTAGATTTTTAAAATGTATCAAAATTTTATATTTTCAAATTCAGCATAGAATTTGTAATGGATATATCACTTGACCAAGAAATTTGTCATTTCATAAGTGGAATTTCTGCCTGGTTGCTTGGAACAGTGACTTCATTTAGGAGTGAAAATAATTCATTTACACAAAGCTGTCCAGAGATATATCCTGTCTATGAGTCAACACACCCAAATGGGGGAAGTGCACTATGATGTGCTTTCTCTGCTGGGTAGGGTGTTTTATTGTGACAGATAAACATCTACCATACAGAGTGGGTGGAATGAGTACTATGTGATCTCCTTAGGCTGAAAAGAAAAAAAAAATGTGTTTTTGTTCTTTTTTTTTTAAATACCAGAAATCAAACTCTGGATCTTGTGCTTACAGGCAGGTACTTATGCCACTGAGCTATATCCCCGGTGCGAAAAGAAAATTTAGATGAATTTTTTATTTAGTTTCTGTGGGCTGTGTGCATGTAACTTTGTGGAACATATTTCAGTTGTAGGGTTTTTTTTAAAAATTTGTGTGTGTGTGTGTTCACGTGCATGTGCTTGTGTGTGTGCAGATATGCTTGTTGGGGGTCTTGCAGGGTCTTACACATGCTAGGCAAATGCTTTACCACTAAGCTAAGCCATAGCCACATAAGACCAGTTTTAGACAGGAGCTGTACATTAAAAAAGTTGTTTTCTTAAACTTAACTTTGAATGCACTACTATTTTAATTTTCAGATTTGTTAAGTTGAAGCTGATAGAATTGCTATTTTTTCTTTTTACTTATTGCTCTACTAGGTCAGTTGTCATTGGTGTTTTCTTCTCCTACTTTCAGTCTCTTAATTTTTGTATAGGAAACTGTAGGAAAATATATTTTGTGCTAATACAGGATGCATTTTTGCATAAGACAAGTCCAAAACAGTAAAATTTTTCCATCTTGAGGTTTAATGAATGTTCTCCCTGTGATAGTGCTTATAATTTTGGGGAAAGCTGCTTGGCTAAAATTGTATTAGTTCAGCAGTTTTAGAATAAGATGTTTGTGGGAGGGGCGACAGAACCTTCAGTCATTGATTCTGTCTTTATAACTGCCCTTTTAGCTGGAACAGATTACTTGTGTAGTGCTTCTAGCCCTGCACAGACTGAATCATAAGGAAGAAACTTTACATAAACCATTTATACTCAATGTTTGGTATGCTGGCAACATAAATCAACAACAATATCCATTACAAATTCATCCCTTTATCAGTATTATCTTGATAGAACTGATCCCAATGTGTGGGAGTTTGAACTCTGCTTCAATACATCTAGCCCTGGGTAATTAATTATTCAGGGCACAGAGAACCTGGCCCCAGCAATGTAGAGTAATTCTTCCTGGTCAGCGTTAACTCCACTGGCAATAATAAATAGAAAAAGTCTCCAGTGATGCCAGGATTTTAAAGTGATTAATCATCTTCCCCCTTAGACTCCCCCTTAGTTTTTTTTTAACTAGGATTTTTCAGCAATAAATCTTTAACAATACAGGTAGGAATTGTTCTGTAATTAAATTTTGCCCTGCTTAATTTCTTACCTTTTATGTGCAATTAAAAAAATGTTACATTTTAAGGGGCCCTGATCAAAATTCTAACCAAGAAAAATCCTTTTATGGAATACAGAGACATTCTCTATGGAGGATTAGATTCTGATTTTGAATATTAGATAGAGCGCATACTCATAAAAATTGTTCATCAACACCAGTTGGGGTGTCAAATATTCTGAAGTTTTGAATTGCTTCACTTTCATGCTTATGGGTTTTCTGTATTAGGAAGAATCTGACATATACATATGTTCCCACATGGAGAGAATAATTATTTCTTAACTTTGAGATAATGGATGTCAGCTTCTTGGAAAAGGGGTAGTTTTTCTCTATTTTTTGTGGCACACAAAACGTACTTGCTGAAGTGGTAGGTAAATGCCTGACTGAGGATGCCCATGTATTTTCAAATCACACCCCATAGAGCTGCCCAGCCATCATGTATATTCTGGGCGACAGGGACAGATGTGATATATCTCTTGTGACACACTTCTGTACCACCAGTCTGTGGCTCGAGGTGACTCCTGTCTGTCCTCTGGTGCTTTTCCTTGCCGCAGGACAACACAACGATGCACGGATGAACCTTGCCATTGCTCTCACTGCTGCCAGGTATGGGGCTGCCACAGCCAATTACATGGAGGTGGTGAGCTTGCTCAAGAGGACAGACCCCGAGACAGGGACAGAGCGCGTGAACGGGGCCCGGTGCAAAGATGTCCTCACAGGTAGGCCAAGTCTTCGGGAAGGAGAGATTTCTTAGCATTTGTCTTCCTTATATAATGTCTAAATTATATTTTTTGTGTCACTTTTCTTTCATTTAAGCCAGACTTCAGAGTCACATTACTTATATTCTTTATGGTCAACAATGACGGCTTTAACATGAAAATTTTTCCTTGTGGGACTTGACAATTTTTTCCCCTTTGTGTTAAATAATAATAATAATAATAATAATAATAATAATAATAATACCAATTCCCCCCAAAATTCCCACAGCTATGAATGCATTTCATTGTCTTTACAAAAACATATTATTAATTAAAGAAATGTGCCAAGTTTCAAAGTATCACTCAGGTGACACAAGCAGGTCATTTATACAATGCTGAAGTCAATCGCCTTTAGCTCTGATTAGATTGTCATTCTTGCCCTGGTCCTGTGGCCATGCAGGCAGTTGGAAAATTGCATCGTTCTTGAATAAAACCAACACTAGGAAATACATTATCTCACAGCAGTGCTGCTTGCACATGTGAGTGTGAGGAGAAAGTGGCTTATCTACTCATTTTACTTGCTTCATGTGTGGCACCTTGATCCTGGGTACTTTGTAAATAGACTGAGAAACACAGTGAAAAAGTGGCATGCTTTTTCCCTTTAATTTGGACTTGTTTGGGTAAATTTACTCAGGAGTGAGCCTTTTGTTTGGCTCTTCAATAACTCTGACTGCTCATGTCCCTTAGTGTAGTATGCAATATACTTTGCCATAGGTTAAGTTAATAGGTGAATTAATAATCCACAGCCTCAGTGAGCAGAGAAACAAATGGGGTGTGTGATTGATGCTGCTTTCTTTTACAGGGAAGGAATTTGATGTGAGAGCCAAATGTGTTATCAATGCTACGGGACCTTTCACAGACACAGTTCGAAAAATGGATGATAAGAGTGCTGCAGCTATCTGCCAGCCAAGTGCGGGTGTCCATATTGTGATGCCTGGCTATTACAGGTAACTGCATTTCATCTTACTGGCCAGCACCCGAGAAGGGGGACACAAGCAATTGTCTATGCATTTAATTTCTTCTTGCATACTCTTTTTAATAATATGTGGTCTAACTGCTGCTCACAATGAGGAGAAGAAAAGCAGCTCTTCCAAAACAATATAAACCAGCCCTGAGAATGACTTAGCCATTTGCAGCAGTACTTGTTTCTAAGGGATAATGATTTGGTATCTATTTTTTACACTCTATATTTTATCCAGTGTAGTCACCTTTGAGATTAAGTATTAATATTTTTGAATTATACTTTTAATAAAACAGTAAAAATTAATTTTGCAGAATTTTCCATGAAGGACATATTTTAATGAAACAGTAAAAATTAATTTTACAAAATACTCAAATTTGCCTATGAAGAATATGAAAATGCTGGCTATTCTAGTATTCTTAGGATTGTAACTTTGGAAGTATGTTTTAAAATATATTATAGCAAATAAAAAGCAGATGTAATTTCCAGTGTTTCAAATTAACAAAGATAAGTGGGGATGAAGAAATGAATAGGTAGAGAACTGAAAAAGCATTTAAGATGGATAATGGGTACGTGGAAGATTTTACTACTTTATATGTTTGAAATTTTTCATAAGTCAAAAAAGAAACATGTTTGTCAAATTACTAATAATGTTTATACCCAATGTATATTTCCAGATATCTGTAGAAAAATTCCCTCTAGCTATACTGAGAGTACAGAATGCATATATACTGGTTTTACTTCCATATATGGTAAATCTAGTAGGCAAACTAGCAATTCTGTATGAAATAGTAACTTCAGTGTGACATTATTTGCTGGGAAAGAGTAGAAACTACTTCTGTTACTCACTTTGGGGGAATAAATAAATTACAACATATCCAAAAAAGGAATATTATATAGGCATTAAGAATTGTAATTTTGTAATTTGAAACAAGGTCTTGCTATGTAATTCATCCTGGCCTGTATCTCACTGTGTGGCAGTTCTCCTGCCTCAGACTCTTGAGTGCTGCCTGGTAAGAATTATAAGTAACTGTAGTTTTCTGGGAAAGCACTAACAATACAATGGTAGTTTAACATGAAAGATTAGAGATTATATATATAATAGGACCAAAACAATATGTATTTCTCTGTATTTTTCAATACATAGAAAAAGACTTGGAAATACATTAAATTTAATAGTGATTATTTGTGGATAATGTGTTTATGGGTGAGAATTAACTCCTTTCATATTTTAATATTTTTTTCCATAAAGGACATGCAAGCCTTTTAATATTTGATATAATAGACATACAGAAACTAACTTATTTTAACATCTGTATTCCATTAGAATGCTGTCCTGCTATGTTATAGGTGATGGTATTTGGTAACTAAATTTTCCTGTAGAAAATCGAAGGCACATCCAATTTGTGCCATTTACACTGTGACTAAGAAATGTATTATAGAAAATTCCTAAGTTTCCTTTTCATTTTCTAAATGTCCACATGAAGTAGGTAGTCTTCACTATCTTACTTTGGGCTGGGAACACCAGTGCACCTATAGTCTTTATAGAAATTTATGAATGCGTAAAAATGTATGTATTGATGACTAATTGAGTTTTTAAAGTATTAATCAGAAGTTTAGTTCAAACACAAAGGAGTTAATACATATAAATGTATGTTTCTTGTGTATAGAGAATTCTTCAATAGTAATTCCAAATATAGTTGTACATGGTTATTTTGTACTGGTTTAAAAATATTCAAGTCCAGCTAGTTTATTAAGATTAATTTTTAGCATCTTGAAAATCAGAGTGCAGAGAATAATTACCATGATCCCCAGATTTGTTTAGACTTTACTGGATTCAACATATTTTCATGTATATTATGTCTTACATTTCCTTTACTACTCACCCATGATATCAGAGAACACTTAATAATTATATTCTGTGGGATAAAACATGTTTATTTTGTGAACCTTAGTTTTGCCATTATTAAAATTGTGAAACATTCTGGTTTTTTAGAGTATGTGGACAGGGAGACAGTATGGAGGGTAAGCTAAGTTGATACCGTGGTCTAAAACAGTGGTGATAAACCTATGGCACATATGCTGCAGCAGGCCTGCAGAGCTCTTGCTGTTGGCACGTGAGCAAAGTCACCCAGCAGTCAAGCAAACAACAGCTGTTTTTCTCAACTAAAATTTCAAAATTTGCAGTGTTGGCACTTTGTGATAAGTAAGTGGGTTTTGGGTTGCAGTTTGGGCACTCAGTCTCTAAAAGGGTTGCCATCCCTGGTATAGAACTACCTTGTTTGTTCATCACTTCAGTTTGCTGTGTGACTTGCGCAAGTTACTTCTTTCAGATTCTGATCCATTATTTCCTAAAGTGCCTAATTTGCATAAAGTTTGACAGTGTTTTTTTTTTTTTTTTTTTTTTTGATCATTTTGTATTTGTCTTGTTACTACTTTATCCTCGGGTTCTGGCATGTAATATGTAGTACCTAATCTTTTTTCTCCCATAGTTCTGGGGCTTGATCCCAGGGCCTTATGCATGCTGAACAAGTGCTCTACCACCAAGCTACATCTCTAGCCCTGTAATAAATATTTTTTGAATGAATCCTACTTTCCTGTATTAACCTGCCATGTTGGGTAGTTGCTTTCTGTGTATACTAAAGTATTTTTTTATTTTAAAGAGAGAAAAAAAACCCAATAAAAACAGTACAGATTTCAAAACAAGATGATAGGAAATTAACAGTGATATATTGCATATTATTATCTTCAAAATAGCTGCTCAGATTACAAGATATAAGCATGCAAAATTAAGCACAATATAAGCACTGTTCCTTTCAGTGAGCTAATAGAAATTAGTAGTGCAATTATCTTAGCTATCGTGTGTGTGCACGTGTGTGTGTATTTTTTTTTTAATTTTCCCTTCATTCTTTTCTCCTTTCCTCCATCACAGTTGTTCTTTCCTTTTGAGCAGGTTCTTTCCCTTTCGCAGTATCTATTGTACCTTTTGGATCTTACTTACTCTTTCAGCTTTTTACACTAGGGAAACAATATGATGTTTACACATGTGAGTCTGATTATTTCACTTTTGAGTGTGGACTCAGTTTGCATCCATTTACCTATAAAAACCTCGAGTTTATCTTTCTTTATAGCTGAGTGATACTCCATTGTATAAAAATACATCTTTTTTATCCATTCCTTGCGTGATGGGCATTTGGGTTGTTTCTAAGATTTAGCGATTATAAATTGTGCTGCTATAAAGTATTAATATAGTATTTGCTCAGTTTGGATTTAGAATGTCCCTGAAAGGCACAAGTGCTGAAGGCCTGGCCCCCAGCTTGGTGCTGTTTGGAGATTGCAGAAACTTTAAGAGGTGGGCCTAGGCAGAGGGCTGCTGGTCAGGGTGAGGGTGTCCTTGAAGGGGCTGTGGGATTTTGGTCTCTTCTCCTCACTCTCTTTGAAGTCCTGGCCATGAGGAGAGTGATTTTTCTGGCTACTTGCTTGTGCCATGATGTGCTGCCTCACCTCAAGCACCAGGGCCAACTGGTCATGGGCTAGAAACTCCAAAATTGTGAGCCAAAATAAACCTTGCCTCTTTACAAGTTAATTTTTTTTAAGTGTTGGAAAGGTGGCCAGCACAACGTTTGTAAAGAATTTTTTTAAAAAAATATTGAGAACTTAAAATACAGAAGAAGGAAAATGCAGTTCTTCATCTTGATGCTCAGATAACCCCTATAGGCAAAAATAAATAAAAATAATGTAAGTGCAAGATCAGAGAATTCTAACACTGTAGAAAATTAGAGAGAATGACAGTGAAAGCCTCCCTGCTTTCCTACCACCTCGCCGTAGTTGTTTTCTGATAATCACTAACCCTTCCAATTCCTTGTAAAATGTTTGCTTTTACTTGCACAAATGTCTATTTTGTTAAGGCAAGAAGAATTGTTTTAATGTTAGAAAACCCAACAAACAATTTTTTTACAGCCACACTTCAGTTTATATTAAGAACAAATCTGGAATTTCCATCAGAATTATGGCTAGATGTTCTTCCAAAAATAGCTATAGTATATAGCAAGTGACTGAAATACATGAAAATAATCATCTGCTCTGTCTAGTGCACTGATGATTTTTACTACTGACAAGAGGTCAATTTTTTTCCTATAATGTGTGTACATACTGTTAGCTGTAATGCTGATTGCTAAGTAGTTAACAATAAATTGATTTCAGTTTAACTAAGGGTACTTCAGGAAAGCAATGGTCTGCATGAGAAAAAAGCTCATTACCTTTCATCCTAGATGCACACATAAATTAGCAAGCGTTTCTTCTTCATGTTACATGAATCACATGGGTTGAGGAGACCTATGCCACACTGCATTGTACAGCGATCACTGTAGTTGATATCCACAGTTAGATGTTGGTGTGACCTTGCAGAATTAATCCTTCATAAGAAAACAAACTTTTCCTTCATGGCAAGTATGAATTAGGTAATTTAGAACTGATGGAAGATATTTCCAACTGGCTTCTTAAAATTTTATATCATTAGTTGATGGCTTTGTCGTCCCTCTGTGCTTGTTAATTTCATGTTTGGCACATATGTCTTCACTCAAGCAGCTGATTCTCTACGGGCTCCAGTTATGTGTGTGCTGGTAACCATCACCTTCACCCTTTCAAACTACTTTTATTGCATTGCCAGTTTTTAAAGGATTCACTAGTTATGCATTTCTAACTATATTTCCTGCCTAGTTTGCTGAATATTATAATTTGATGCTTAATTTATCAGGTTGATTATTTCAGGAGTATGTATTTGGCCCATGAGAATAGTTGGACATAAAATGTGTCAGCATATAATTTCTCAATGTTAAAATTTGGAATTTTGTTTCAATAAAATACTGATCATGAGATTGAATGCTTGAACTCTGGGTGCATTAATTCCAATTCTGATGTGACCGATTTAACCTAAGGACATATCAATTTGGGATAAAACCATGCTTACGTATAATCCCAGCATTGAGGTAGTTTCAGGCATGAAGATTATAAGTTTGAGCCCATCCAAGGCAACTTAGTGAGACTTTGTTTCAAAAAAACACAGGTGTCTGGGGATGTAGGTCAGTGATATAGTGCCCACATATGTATTCATTCTCTAGCACTGCCCCCCCAAAAGTGCTTATATAATTTATGATTAACTACTTTAAGACTTTTGTAGTTTTGTGACAAATACAAAGAAAAAATGTGTATTGTCATATTTAGAGACCAAAAATACTCAATCCTCCTAGTTTTCAGTGTTTTAGAGTAAAAGTAATTTTCTCTAAGTAACCCTGAGTGAAGGTGGGAATCTCTGCTGAAGATCTAAGTGGTTGACCTGTGCCAGTGGTGCTTTTTAGGTTTGCAAAGTGCTGTGCCTCTCTCCTGTGTCTCTAGTAGGGAATGGGCAGTGATTTCTTTCGCAAAGGCTGAGGAACATAAGAGGCATGTCATGGGGATGGAGGCTTCATTGAAGAGGAAGACTGTAGCACTTCCTGTAGTTTATGTAAAGGAGATGCACTAGCTAAGCTGACTGTGGTTTTCTTTTTTGTATAAAGATACTTTGGATTTGGTTTTAAACAGCTGTGAACCTCTCATTCTTACACATTTGATACGTCTTTAAAAATTTTAAGGGAATAATAAAAAGTTGATTGTATGCTTTTTAATTTTTTATTTATTTGTTTTTGGTATGTGGGGGAATTTGTAGACTAGATCTTTGTAGGTAGTCCCGGCTGGGCTTGAGCTTATTATATAGCCTGGGGTGGCTTTGAATTTACAATTTGCTGGCCTCAGCCACGCAAGTGCTGTGATAATAGGCAGACACCACTGTGCGTGACTCCTCTGTGCTCTCAGAATTTGTGTTTTTTAAGAGGGATTTCTTGAAATTTGTTCAAACCAAATAGAATGTGTTTTCTGTTTAAGAAACTATATTAATCGAAGCTAAAAATATTATACAAAGTATTTTCCGCTTGGCATTTATATGTGAATTCAGTCAAATTGCTATCTGATCTTTTGTGCTCTATTTGAATACAGCACTTTCAGCTTCTTCCCACCCCTTTAACATCTCCAAATTTCTTTTCATAGCTAATGACTGTATTAAAACAATAGTTTCTAGTGATAAATATGGCAGCTTTTGTTAATGTTTATTTATAGTTGTCTGTTCTTTCAAATGAGTTTTATATTTGGTGTTTATATTATTCACTATGTGTCAGTGAAAATTCTTGCCTAATATTTCTAAGATTTTTATGTAACTTTCGGAATAGGCAGCTTGCACCTTCATTTAATAGCAGAATGTACTAGTGTTTTCTATTTAAAAACTTTTCTTTGCTAAGGAGTTCCTTTCCCTTTGAACTGTTCTGGGACATTATTATTCAGGCAGTAGTAAAAAAGAAGCTCTTTTTTTTTCCTGAATGCACTTCTTGAGATTTCCGTAACCTTGAAATAAGGTAAGAAATCTCATATTTGAAGTGGTACAAGTTCATCTTAGCACAAAGGAGTAAAGAACTTTATGATTACATTTTAGTTCTAGAAAGTTTAACTACTTTCTCATGTACTTCTGAGGCCTTCTACTGAAAGATGTGCCAAATGTCAAATGTTCAGGAAAATACTTTTCGTAGACTTGGAAGGAGGTTGAAGGCCTATCTGTCTCTCATTGACCACAGTAAAAGAGGTTATAGGCATTTATCTCCCTGACATTATCTGATGTGAATGGTATAAAAACCAAAACAATTGGAAGTTAATTAAACTTGGAGTGTTGAGGTGGGAGGGTGGTTCTGCTGCAGAATAATATTATTATCACATTTGTACGGTACCTGTTTTGGGCCAAAAATATTTTTTCTTTCATGAATTTCTGGATTAGGGAAAGGGCAGTAAAGTAGTAGTTTATGTTTCCCTTGTTTGCTTATTTGACCATTAGCAAATAAAATAGTTTTTTGAGTGCAAATTAACATTAAAACTTATGCTAATTTCAGAACTAAATTTCTTTTTACCTTAGCCCTGAGAGCATGGGATTGCTTGACCCAGCCACCAGTGATGGGCGAGTTATTTTCTTCTTACCCTGGCAGAAGATGACTATTGCTGGCACTACTGATTCTCCAACTGATATTACACATCACCCTATCCCTTCAGAAGAAGACATCAACTTCATCTTAAATGAAGTGCGTAACTACCTAAGCTGTGATGTTGAAGGTAATGGAAACATTCCTTTAATCTTGCCCCTCCAGTTTTTGGTAAAAATTTGTTTTTTTTCTATTTGCTAATCTTTATTTTCACTGGTTGTACAGTTTTTATTGGTTATAAAGAGATTTAATTTTGGCAGATTTGTACACCCACATAACATACTTCAATCATTTTCATGCTTGTTCTCCTTTTTCCTATTGCCCGAACGTTTCCAGCTCTCACTGGAGTCATCTTATTTCCATTCTTCCTTATCTTTACACCTGGCCTGCTAGCACTGTTTTGTGCTGCCCACTTCTAGATTTATACAGGCCAAATTACAACACAATTCAAAGGACCTGCATTTTCTTCTCTACTTTCTGCATCCAGAAGAAACTCACACAGGGCATTTATGATAATATCTAAAGGCAAGTTTGAAGTGTCCCACACAACCTCCTCTATCAGAGGAGTAGGAAGTATTTGCATCACTATTTGCTTTAAAGTTTGGGAGGACTGATTTACAGGTATAGGAAAGCCATAGGAAATAATTCAGCAAAAAAATGAGAACATAGAGGTGAATGGCGTAAGAAGTTGAATGTTCTATAGCTTCTTCCATTTAGTATTGATATAAGAAAATACCTGAGATGGGGTGCTTTTGTAAAGAAAAGAGTTTGTTCAGCTTACAGCTTTGGAACCAGATGATCTACAGGCAGTCCCATCTGTTTTGGCTCTGGCGAGGGCCTCTTGGCTGTACACAACATGGTAGCATCACATGGTGGGAGTATGTATAAGAAAGTGTGAGAGGGCAAAGGAAGGGAGGCAGCAAGAGACTGGGGATGGGCCAGGCTTACTGATTTATGACAGCATGTTCTCTGGAGCTCCCTGGGTTGGGAGACCTAAGTCACTGTGAAACGAGCATTAATCATGAGGTGGTCATGGTATAACCGTCTTGCACTAGGCCCCATCTCCCACTACCTTTTGATACTGTTGCAGTGTGGGCCATACTTCTAGCAAGTAAACTTATACCAACTAATAATATGCAAATCATACCAGTCCATTACCATGTGGAAAGTACAGTGAAGCAAAAGGTTACTTCTTTCCAAATCTTATCTGTGCATTGTAACTTGGATGTCGTGGCATTTTTTCCAATACTTATATAATGAAGTTTTTAACCAGCGTAATCCCTAGAAGTTTCCCAACATTATCCTTCTGTATTTCCCTTCTTAGTTACCAGCCTCAACAGCTACCATGTCATCCGAGCTAGAAATGGAATGCTTCTCCTCTCCTCTCCTCTATCCTCCTCTCCTCTCCTCTATCCTCCTCTCCTCTCTTCTCCTCTCCTCTCCTCTCCTCTCCTCTCTTCTCTTCTCTCCCCTCTCCCTTCTCCCCTCTTCTCTGCCCTCTCTCCTCTCCTCTTCTTTCCCTCTCCCCTCTCCCCTCTCTCCTCTCCTCTCCTCTTCTCTCCTCCCCCCTCTCCTCTTCTCTCCTCTCCCCTCCTCTCTCCTCTCCCGTCTCCCCTCTCCCTTCTCCTCTCCTCTCCCCTGTCCACTCTCCTTTTCCTCTTTTCTTTTTTCATTCTGTATCAGTCTAGTTTTTATCTGTGCCCACTTTGAAGATAACACACAGATCACTTCCCACTTCATTGCCTGGGTGCGCACCCACATCATTTCTTACTTGGACAATTTCATCGGCCTCCTAAAGGGGCTCTCAGTGTCGGGTTTCTATCCATCTAGAACTTGCTGCCATCAGAACTTGCTGTCTAAAACTCAATACTCCTCATCATTTTCTTGCACAAAAATATTCCTTGGGTGTTTCCTCATTGACTTTAGGAATAATTATTAGCTCTCTTATATTGAACAAAAGGCTTTTCATAACTGTCTTTTATATTTACTTCCTCTCTGCATTTTTATGGTATGTTTATTCTATTATCATTTCCAAATCAAGCCATATACTTTTAAACATTCATGTCTTATTTTTGTTGAAGCCTTGCTCTGGGATCTCCTTTCTGGCAATACTCATCTTGGCAAAATATTTATACTTTAGAAACTTATATGTCATAAACCACCTGTCTTTTGCATTCCTGTGGAGTCACACTGGTTACACTGCCATTACATCATAACATTACGTTTTCTAGGTAATAGTCTAAGATGTAGTCTCAGAGCTCCTTGAGGGTAATGAATCTTTTTTCATCTACAAAGTTTATGATCTAACTGGCATGCTATTCATGATTGTTTTGAGTTAAAAATGTCAGTTATAGATGCTTTCAATATTTTTGATACTAGTAGCAGTTTGAAAATCTAAAAGCGGATAAGTTTTAGGTTTTGAAAAATAGCTTTATCTTTTTTGTCAGCAATCTTCAATATTGATTTCCATGACAGACACACAGATACTAGCTGGATGCAACTCATTAGCATCTATGAACTCTTTTTCCCTAAAGGATTTTTTTTTTCATTGTGATCACATATTAACAAACAAACTGCTTTGAAAAATGGTTCAAATTACTCTTAGTTTAATTGATTAATCCATATTTTCTTGCTTGTAATCTGAGAAAGAAAATGGATATAATTTCATTCTCAGTAATGTCTTTGGATATCTATAACAGTAGTATAAATATTGAATAAATATAATGGAAATCTACATAGCTTTTTTTCTTATTTTTTATTAATATATGTTTGCAGTACATAATGATTACATTCATTGAGGCTTTTATTCTTCTTCTTATTATTAATGACATTTCTTGTGTTTCCCAGGCTTGCCTTGTTTTCACCACCCTTTTTCCTCAGCCTCCTGAGTAGCTGGGCATGTACCATCGTATTAAATATTCCATATTAAAATACTCCAACCTCACTGCAATTTTAGTTTTATACTTTATTTTTCCTTTTAAAATCCAGGAGGAATTTCAGTATCTTGGTATGATTCTATTTCAGTGTATTTATTATTAATAATGAATCCTACTACCTTCATTTCACATTTACCTGTGTATAATCTTTTAAAAGTACCCTTAAGAAGGTTAGATTGTTGGAGCAGAGCATAAAATTAATTCAAGAGCAGAGAGCTTTATTGTTGACAGTTTCTAAAATCTTGAAGTTCAAATGCAGGAAGGATGGAAATCTCACCGCTTACGCTGAGAGGCTGGATGTTGCTGGAAGCACTTGTGGGTTCTGGGAAGCCTCTGTGCCATGTCGTGGGTGGGAATCTGTACGAGAGAAACAAGCCTTAAGTTGTAACAGACCCTGAATCCCTTTTGTTTTGCCTATAAGTACAGAGAAGACTTGGCAATGCTTGATTGGCCCGTGAAAGCTTTCTCAGTTGACACACCTTTTGGTTGTCACGGAATGAGGAAACTAATGATGTTATTGTTCATTCTGATATTTGGTAGAAGTGGTTTGCAATTGACATCTACATATGACAGCTCAGACCTTTCCCCTGATGGCCGGGGGACATCTTGAGAGTAAGAATCTTCCAAGGAGCACATATGCAGGGTGAAAGCAGAGGTGACATGTCTGTCATAGGCTGCATTTTTTTTCACCTGTGCACCATCTAGCACATCTTTCCTACTTATAGTCTTATGCTTTTAAAAGTTATTAATTAACAGTGATTCTTTATATTTGTTTCAATCCTCATTTCTAGTTGACAGAGTCCTCATATTTAAGTAGTTACCCTCGAGCTTGGTAAAGTATCAGCTAAAGTATTCTATATCTTAAAATGAGGATATTTGTGTTTGTATTTTTCCCAGAGAATTTTGTTGAAACCCAATATTCTTCTGTACTAACGAAAGGTATGAGAGAAACTCAGGTTTGGGCACCATTTAGTCATTTGCTTACGTGCTGTTACCACACATTTTAATATTTACATTTGTAGGCCTTATTTTTAAAACTGTCATTTAGCATTTTTTATGCTAGACACTGTGCTGCAAGCATATTGCCTATATAAGCCTTTTGATTCTTTGTAGGAACATTAAGAAGCTTATTTTTCCCACAATTGTTGAAGGAACTGAGGCCCAATAATACTGTTAAATTTCTTGCCCATAGCTAGTTAGCATTAGCGCTTGATTGAGAATAAGTCAGTCTGCCTGTAATACATCCTTCTAAATACTGCATAGTATTCTGATTAGTAGTTCTGGGTTTCACAGTGTGATCCACTAGGGAGTGAATTAGTCTATCAATTCATTTCGTGGAAGCTGCTAGACACCTCTAGAATGACAGTGACCTTTACTCTCCCCTGGCTTTATTTGGATTTGAATGTTAAACTATGGGAGGTTTCATGTCTTATAGCTAATCTCCTGGGTCAACCAGTTTTATCCACAGACTGAAAAATAAAAAGTTTGGTTTAGGTCCTAGAGCAACAGTTTTGAAATGTTTTGTATTCAGGCAGGGTTGAAATAATCATTTTAAAATGATTTATTAAATGGATAAGTATAATTCTTACAGCAGCTTCTGAGCCTCCCCAAATGGCTATATCCTAAGAGAAAAAAAAAAGTGTCAAATCTTAACACTCCATGCTGTTCACAGCAGCTGCCACACTTCTGCAAAATGCGTTGGAGCAATTCTGAAAAGCATTTTGCCTGTTGGGAATAAGACCATGTAAGTCTTCTTTTACAATTTAGAAAGCTTCCTATTCACAGGCTGAATTTTCTAGATTACTTGTTTGTTCTTTTATGAAATGGATAATTGATAGTTCTGCAGTTTGTACTGAGTTAGGAAGAAAGATGATCTTTTGAAAAATGTATCATTAAGTCTGCTGTGTAGAGGTTAATCAGAAGGAAGCAGCGGTGAAACTAAGTTGTGACTTAACTCGATTGAGGGAGACGGAGATTTGACGAGTGCTCTGTCCATGTAGTTTTTCTGGAGCGCTTTTCCAGAGCATCTCTACTGGTACACAGGTTTTCACATATGCAGTTAGTGGTGTTTATAGATTGCCTGTTATTCAGTTAACAACTGAGCTGGCCATATCAACTCACTGCAGACTTGCCTTTTCACTGCCAAGGACTGTACCAGGGTTATCAACTTACACAGGCTTGGACGTCTTCCAGC